AATACAATGTCCAATATTATGGTGTGCATGCACAAAACGAAACTCGTTTTTATTCCATTTACTGTTGTATATCATGGGACACTCAAAAATAATTTACTATCCTTCGGCAAAGCTGTAGGTTTATACTTTCACAGATAAGCTTATACATGAAAAGTATTCAGTATGGACTATATTAAGAGTTCTATATTTCCTAGTTATAAATGAACTTTTTTATAAAAAAAAAAAAAAAAGATTAATTATTTAAAATACCTCTAATGATTTGTTAATGCAAGTAGTATGAATGATAAAATGTTAACGTTATTGTCATATGACTAAACTTTACTACTTGATTTATAATCTACTACTTAATATAAATAAATCTACTTGATTTTAAATCTTACTAAAATATTAAATACTGATATTAAAAGATTAAATACTGAATATTAAATACTAATTAAATACTGAAAGAAAAACTAAAATTGATTCGATGCTATTTAATATAGAATATTTCATCAAGTTCACTAATTACAATATTACCGTCTTTAGAGCATCGAGTTGTTTTTAACAAACATTGTGTTTGTTGAATTTGTATTTCATAATTTACCTTATATCTATACCTTTTCCATATAAGAATAATGTATTTGTAATGCTAAATCTATCTATAAAGTCCATAGAAGCAATATTATAAATATTATAAAGTATTCCTGTAATTTAATGTTTACAGTGACTTATTAATGCCTGAAGTGTCAATAATTTTACTTTAAATTAAACTTTTATATTATAATCATACCTATAATAAAAAATATTCATTTTAAATGCATTTTAAATATTTTTGTATCAAAAAAAAAAAAAAAAAAAAAAAAAAAAAAAAAAAATAAGAAAAAGAGAAAGGAGCCATATTTAATTAAAGCTTAAAATTAGGTTTACAAATAATAAACGAACACTGATTGGCGCGGCTCAGATCAGATTATCACTCCGAGTTTTTATACGTTGTCTAGAATTTTTCAACAAGAAAGTTTCGAGCGAGCTTTACTTTGTAGCTGAAACTAAGATCCCAAATAAAATTATGGATATCCAGATATACAGTTACGGGTCTAAGCAAGCTTAGCCGTACGCTTTATTTATACATTCTAGGGAGCGTTGAACGCACGCACGACTGCACCTAGCACCTGCACACTCATACATAGAAAGTGCTCGACCATGGTATTGTGAATTTATGCGAACGATAAAAGGAGCTAGTAGCTCCGAGCCTTTTTTCCGACCGATAAATGTACCCCGCTAATACGTCATGTGCTCTCATGCAGTGATTTTACAGCTTATCGAACGGGACTATTATATACGTGGAATTTTTTTTTCATGCTCGAACATTCAATGTTTCGATGCATTAAGTTGGTAAAATTTATCACATCCTCGGGGCTGGTTTTGGCGAAAAATTTTATTGATTTTTAGATATGGAAAATTTATTGTTTCGTCGACAGTTAAAAATAATTATCATGAGAAAATTAATTAGGACTTAGTTAGACTCTTCATTAATATACCATTATTCGAATATTTGCAAAATTATATATATATATATATATATATATATATATATATATATATATGTAAGCATGCACCGATACATACTGAAATGAAAAATTATTCCCATCCCTTAATCGAATATGATAGGTTTATATTATAAAACATTGTTATTATTAAATTTTGTTTCAATTTTTATTTTTATTTTACTTTCAAATTTCGATTTCATTTAGATTGGCAAGTTTCATCTTTGGATTTTAATTTAATAATTGATCGACAATATTCATACGGCATTATTCATTGTTAACATTATGTAATAAAAGTTTATTGAAATTAATTCTTTCAAAAAAAAATTTTTTTATTCTTTATCTCGATGACATTGCAATTGATGTTAAACTTTAATTAAAAACAAACGAATGAATATACTAATAAATTAATACTTTCTATTTCTTAATTATTTTGCACTTGGAAAGAGAATTATTTTTTCATTTAGAATTATCAAATTAAATGAAATTTTTTAAATGAAATGAAAATATAAATTACAGCTGCTACTGAAAAATGATTTATTTTAAATTGAAATTTTTATTTTTAAATGTTGCAAAAGGGACAAATATTATTTTATCTCTTTATTCATTTGTTCTGAGGATTTTTATTGTAAATATTGAAATCAATATTTCTACAAATACTAACAAGAAATATCATTGTCTACAGCACTGTAAATTAAAAATTGATCAAATTTAACCTTTTTTAAATAATATATATGTATACGGGAAAATTTTATTTTTAATTTTAATATATCGTTAAAAATAATATGCGTATTTAGATGAATATTTAAAAATTCCAATGGTTTTTAAAAATTTGTTTTTATTTGTTAATGAATGAAAAACAATTGTTACAATGATCATTCAGTCCTTATATAAACGTAAAAAAAACTTTGTTAACGGGTTAAATTTCATATTGCATTGAATAAAAGCTAAGCTATTGGACATTAATCAACTATAATTATATCGAATTAAAAATCCATGAAAATATTTTACCATTTGTTAGGTGTGCGCGCATGTGGATGCGTTCGACCGTATGTACGTGTGCGCGCGCGCGCGCGCGTGTTGAATATAAATATACGTATATACGTTTTATATTAATGCAAGTAGAATGATATTAAATTGATTGTATTGCAAATTATTAATATCCTAGACGTTAAATACTGTACAAAATTAAATGAAAATTGTAAATAAAACATTTCTTCAATTTCAGAAGAGCATATACAGCTTGAAAGAACAAAATATCCAATGCATCTGAGATATTGCATTATTTAATAATTCAACAATATTATCATTTTTTCACTCTCTTAAGACAGTAACTTTTAATGTGAAATAAGTCATCATCGATCATTATACTTACCCGTGCAACAAGACTTGTCTACAGAGTATCATAAAACGACAAGATTTCTATTTTCATCATCGACTCCCACTGCACCCACAGCGAACCTCCGCACTTAAATTCAAAGCGTAAGCTCACCAAGACGAAAGTCACGTCCGGTGCTGTGCTCCGGGAAGCGTTGATTGCTCGCGGACTATCGGACACTTTGTTGACTTCGGCCCACGCGATCCCTTATCAGCTCTCCCCTGCAATGACGACAGATGAGCTTATCGATCGGTCATTATCCTTCCGACCGTCAAGTACGTACCACTCGGATTCTGAGATGGCGGCGAGGGGCGGAGAGGGGATGGTGAGGGAGTGCGGCGTGAGGAGGGGGGGTGGGGGGAATTGCTCGAGCACTGGCCCATTCCAAATTTGCCGTCGTGTGCTTCTCTACCAGATGATAAGCAAAAACGATATTCGGTTCCCAAGCGTTATCGAGCAGATTAATCCTTTGTGACGTACTGTTTCCATTTGTCATTGTTGAATGTCTGCTACCGAATGTAGTTGAAATCGTAAATCAAAAGAGACATAAGCAATATTTGTATCTTTTTAGTAGTATCTGCTTGACGTTATAATATTTTTTATAAATTATATAACGAATCGTAGTACCCTTTGCGAGCTTTTATTATTAGCTTACTTACACGTGAATATTAATTCAATATTAATTGTTGCAAGAAAGAAAAAGAAAAGCAACTGAAATTCGTTATAAAATTTCTTGAAATTTTACAATAAATATCTTTAATTAAATAAATATTTTAAAATTACTATTAGATGAATATTTATAAATTTTATTACCAAACATTGTTGAATTCCCATACGTTAAATTTGAAAAAAAATTAAATGACAAATATAAAACTTCAGTATAGAGGCAGTTTGTAAGTAGAATATAAAATAAATAAAATATTAAAACAAGCTTTTATTTTGTTTTGTTATTTGAAATTGTTTATTATGACGAAGAGAATATTTTGCTATTTTACATTATGAAATTATTAAAATGCTTTGTACAAATAATCTTCATTTTCTGAATAATTAATCGTTGCTCTGTGCTTTGAGCGATGAGAAATTTCTCAGTAGCCACTAAAGCTAATAGCTTCTTAGACTCAACGATTCAAAAGAGATGTAGAGAGACTAAAATGGAAAAGAGCAAGGGCTATAATAAATGTGTAATAAAGGGAGGCAAGAGAGGAATCGAGTGAGTGTGGAGGCGGACAGAGATAAAGTAAAATGAATGTTAACCACATGTTACTTTAATGATCGGAATCATTACTTATCTACCTGCTAACTTTCTTCCACACTTTGGGCGTAACTTCCGCAGAAATAAGCATCCAGATAAACACCTCAGTTGTATCTTTTGTTAATCTTGGAAATCTTAAATAAGTAACTGGTGCTTAAAGTTTTGTAAAAATTTATTTTACAAGAAAAATATTTTTTCATTATTCGCAATAATTATATACGCAACGTGGCTTATAATATACAATGTTAATTCGGAATTTTAATATATAAATTAGAATTCATTTAAAGATGTGCATGAATATTCGTTAATAATAATAAATATACTAATATTAATCGATAAATTGTTGATTTATTTTATTCTAACATAACACAATTATAAATTAATTTTCTTCATATTTCTTTTATTTCCCGTATTGTAATTAATAAATCGAAGCTTTAAATATTTTATTCTCAATTATTTATAATCTTTTTTTTTTAACTTATATGGACATTAAGTTTATTTTATGAGTAAGTCAATAAGAAATGTCCCTAATCGAAAGTTGCGTCGCTAGATACGATTGAATTTCGTTGTAATATATTTAATTATAAACATTATCATAGAATAACGAATTAGAATCGTAAAACAAAATAAACGTTGGCAACTTAAGCAATTGATCCTATTGTTCATCCTACACTACTCGATTGTATATATTATCGTTCAAACGCGTATATAAAATTTAATACTCTAGTTAAAGTTAATATAAGCCATTTATTGTTTTAATAAATATTCATATCGAAACATTGTGAATGACTCTCTGCCTTTTACGATGTGACACGTATCGTGAGGGTAGTAAATCTTCGAGAAAATTATGACAATTGTAAAAGAAAAGTGAGAGGGGGGAGGGAGGGGGCGAGAGAGAGAGAGAGAGGGGGGGGGGAGTGTATGTATCCAGTTTTATAATTCGTTAATCACAGTGTTTTAAAGGATCCGACGATCTACTGTAGTTCCGTAGATAATGATGACTGCCATGGGGTCTCGATCTTCTGGTCGTTGGTCGATGGCACATTCTGGTATCCAACCGAGGAAATTGATTCAAAAGAGAAGGTCGTGGGTACTGTTGCATTTGATCTACCTAGCTTTGACAATAAGTCCGAATTGAAAATGCATGGCGTCGTAACTTGTGAATTCGACGATAAAACCTTTCAGTCAAAGATATTTTCTATCGCTCTCAGCACCGAGGATATGATTGACGGTAGCTGGCATTTAAATTTTTGTCCAGCTTCAGCGGAATCCAGTATACTTGCCCTCAAGGTAATATTTTTAAGAGAATTTTCCTTGTACCGCAATAAATTTAACCGCGAAATAATTTTCCTTTCGTCTAAAAGGCAGATTCGATTTAGATGGATTATGCTTATCTTTAAAGTATAATATTATTATTTACTACATATAAAATGGCATTTTATAAATAAAGTTCTTAAATTCTGTGTTAATATTAAGAACTTAGAAGTATTTGCTTTCAAAATTAAATTAAACAGACTAGTTGGCTTGTAGCCACAGTACAGTAGTAAATCAAGATTAAAAGGATGCTTTATAAAAATTAGAAAGAAGACCATTTATAATGTAAATTATCATTTATAAAATTTTTATATAAATTTTTTTAAACTAAATCAATTTATGTGAATTCAAACTATACAGTTGCAAGTAGCATTAAAATATATAAAACATTCAGAATATACTTTAACTATTACATTAATTAAAATTAAACGTTACAGTTGAAGAAGCAAAATGTAGGAAATATATACTTACATTTGAATATTTGAAATATTTATAGTTAAAAAGAATCTTAGTTTTCCGACAAACAACATACAAATACAAAAGACTCTGATATTCTGATAAATAACAAATAAATACAAAATTACAGTTATTTGGATTTTGTATGTGTAGATTTTTCTTTAAAATTGCTTAAGCGTCGAAGATGTACATATTAGTAAATTAAAAATAGAAACGTCTCAATTTAAATATGAAAATTTTATATTATTTAAAAAAACAAAGAAAAAAATGTATTTTAAGTAAGCAACTTTGGTTCAGTCATTTTTACGATTTTTCTAACACACTCGGAACATCTAAGATTTGTATAAATTATTGCACTGCCGTAAGAAAAGTAAAAAACTGACTAGACTAGTTTATGAAATTTTTATAAAAATTGAGTAAATAAAAAGGTAATTAATATTGTAAAAGTAGGCTTTTGTGAGGTCGAAAATATTTCCTTATTCGATATTTAAATGGTGCGTGAAAAATTCTGACATTAATTTTGACAATTATTTTCACTTTCTTCGATAAGAAAAGGAAAGGAAAAGGACCGAAGGAAACCGGAAGCACGTAGTTTACAAAATTTTAAAGTATATTTATATTACTTTAAAGCAATAAACATTCTGTTCTATACAGACTATCTCCGTAGATCGACTTGTCATATTACCGGTACAGCCAGATTCTAATACCGGAAAACGATTGATGAGATTCTTAGATAAATATGAATTCAAGGAAGTTGGTAAAGTTTGCTTGGTGAAAAAAGCCGGCGCATTGCAATATTGTCTTCTTGAGGTTTTGCCAGCGGATGATTCCGACGTAAGAGTGCTGTTATCGGCAAGGTAAAGTGTTTATATTTTTTATATCGATACCGGTTCGAATATTTGAATATAATTTTAATTTTTTAATACTATCGTGCTACTAAGATTATTTTATTTTCTGTATATATCTGCCGTAATTTCATAATAAAGTTAAAAATCGATCTTATTCCCAAGCAGGATACTATTACCTTTTTAACTAACTAACTTTTTAATTAATAACGTAACTCCATTTCACCTTTAACTTGATTATTCATTTTTAACAGATCTGAGACACAATTGTCATTGTTAATGACGCTCATGCACAAAGAATTTCCAGAAATGTTGGATATCGAAAAACAAGAACTCCTGGAGGAAGCTGCAGAGGCATTACGCGAAGAGTTACAACTCTACCTCACCTGTAACGATCCTTACCAAATAAAACAAGCAAGAATTAAGTCGGACCTACTCATTCCATAAATCTATTACTTATGTAAATGCTTCTTTAAATCATACTTAATCATTGTCAGGCTTTTAAATTATTTTTTATTTTGTGTAATTTTATTGGATAAATATATTAAAGAAGAAAAAAAAAATACGGCGACAAACTCGAGCACAATGGCTCGTGAAACATATGGTTATATTATGTGATCAAAATGTATCCGAATGGAATATTTACAAAAGATTTTTATAATGTGCACTGAAAGAATGAAATGTCACTATATTAATTATGACTTGTGAGAAATAATCCTAAAAATAATAATAGTCCTTTAATTTTTATATCTCAATTAACGATAGATTTATTATAATGATTTCTTACAACCAATAAATCAAATACTGTAATATAATTATTGACAAATTAATTGTTTTGCATTACAATGTTATTTGCAAAATTATTTTCTTTTTGAAAAAACACGTTTAATAAATTGTGATTTTTTAGAATAATTGTTTGTTAAGTTTTTTTTGTTGTTTATTTATTATTAAATCCATTTTTCAAAATATTATCAGAAAAACATGAAATTTCAATATTTCGGAAAAAATGTAATATTTTTGTGCTAAAATTGATTGAAATTCAATAAATAATAGCTATGAGACGATAATCCTCAACTCTATTTTCACAAAACATACTGCAAGTCTACAAACCTTGATTTAAATAAAACAATATACATCGTACGTTTTTGTTAAACTGCAAAATTCTGTTTATTATTCTTCAACAAAAGAAAATTTTTATAATTAAATTATTTTTACGCAAATAAATGTGTGTGTGTGTGTGTGTGTGTGTGTGTGTGTGTGTTTGTGTGTGTGTGTGCGCGTGTGTTTTTATAATTGAACATATTATGAATTGATAAGTAAATCGATATAATATGCGTTCAACAATGTAATCATAAAAAATTCCTTTATCTTTATAATGGCTTATAATAATAAATAATATATAAATTATTATTTAAACAACCCAGGTATGTTCTAAAATAAATTAAATGATGTTGGAAAACTATTTGTCACTGTAACTGCTTAAGTTTAACATATTTAATTCATTTGTAATTGATTCACCTAAATAATCTATCTAAAAAATAAAAAGAGAATAGAGAAATTTTAAGCATTCAAAATTAATCAAAATGTATTTAATGTATTCAATTATATTCAATCGAAATTTTCATAAACAAAAGCAATTATATATACATTTGAAAATAAATTTTCGCTTATTCATATAAGAATTAAGAATCAATTCTTTGTAATTAAGAAACGATTGATAAAAAACGTGTAAAATTACTTCCATTAAGAAATGATTTAAATTTAAAAACAGAAATTCAATTGATTTGTAATTGTTAGTCTTAAAATCAGATATCTTGTTGTAATCACAGATTTAATGGGATTAGAAGGGAATTAATACGTTTATTATTACGCACAAACAAATATGTCCATGAAATATCAAAAAAAACTTTTTATTTTGCATCCTTAAAAATACAAAAATATACAATAAATACTATATTTTATTAGATTTACAATATATTTAAAAAAAAATTTTATTTCACTATATTTTATTAAAATTTAGTCTTATAACAAAATTGAATGTTACAAAATACAATAGTATAAAAGAAATTTCGTAATTAAAAAATTGCATTAATTTCGTATTTTAAGCAACAGGTCTAAAAATATAGTCAAATCGTTTATTTAAATATTAAAATGATCTCTCGAGTTTGGACACGTAAAATATATATTAATAAAAGATATTCTGAGAAATTAAATACTGAATAAAACTGTGTTTATAGAAACAACACTGAGCACTTCTGATAAAACATATTATCAAACTTACTATATTCTGTGGTTTTGTGTAGATAAAACTTGGACATTATAGTTCCGGGGTTAATTATTTTATATATTACATAGGATTCTTCTGGATATATTTTATAACTGCATAATTAAAATGAAATGTACATATATAAAGTACATGTTTAAAGGATTTTTGCCGTAATAAAATAATTAGAATAAATTTAAAATGACGAATAACAACAGAATTATTATAAAAGTTTAAAAATTACAAAAATATATTAATACTACATATTAATATATATGTATTATGTTAATAAGAAATACAAGAAATTGAAAAATTAAATTAATATAAAATAATAGTCAAAACTAAAACTATTTTGCAATGTAACATTATAATATTATGAATGATAATGATAATAGAAATATATAAAACTACATTATTAGAACATTGAAACTTATATAAATAATCAATTTGGCATATATAATGAATCAATATCAAGTTGAATGAAGTTAAATATGAAGTTTCAATAATACTATTTAAAATAAATTTAAAAATGGTAATTTTATCTATTTGAATCACATTATCATTATTCTTAATATCACATTATTTCTTATTCTACTTTAATTAAATTTCTCTATAAATTTTCTATTAATTTTTGAACCACATGAATTTTTCAAAATAAATTATAATTTTATTTCACCCACATTCATTATAATAAAAAAAAAACTTATTACGACATTGTCCAGTTAACTAATTTATACTACATTGTTAATTAGTATCGTTTAATTTAATTATCATAATTGGTAATTTTCAATAATTATTAACAATTTTTATATTCTTTTACATCTTACTAATATTATATAATTTGTAATTTAATTATTAGACTTAATAAAATCGATTGAATTATTATTGATTATTTTATTTAAGGATATAAAGAAGACAATACGTAAATGAGAAAGTTAAACTCTTTTTCTAAATATTATTTCCTCGTATTTTAGAACTTCTAATCATAAAATGTAATAAACGGGTTAAATTATAATTTAAAATTTTTAAAAAAATTTATAATTATTTGCTAAAAGTCATTTCACTTGATTTATTAAAATTATAATCGTTCATTATAGTTAGCAATTGTTATCCTTTAAATACAGAAGAATGTTTTAAAATAAATTAATAAATTAAAAATATTTTAAAAAATACATCAATAGTTTAAAGGAATTCTTAATTTTTAATTACAATAAGTATTAAAAATTATTATTTTCCATTTAACATCATTGAATAAAGACACGAAATTTGAATTATGTAGTATATTATATTTTATAGAATTCAAGTTTACAACCTTTAGTATATAACAAAATGATGATCTACAATAAATTTTTTATCTAAACATAAGTGATCCATTTTGTAATTAACCTTATTAGTATAAATAACTGAAATAGTGTCATATTTTTAGTTATAAAACGGCAATAAAAATAATTTCATTTTCATAAACATTTTATTAAAAAATAATAGAAAGTAGTAATACGATTAGTGAAGATTTTTATTGATTCAAAATCAGATTCGACGAACAGTATTTTGCCAATGTAATTTCGCACTACAAAATAAAGTCGTATATTGCCAGTCACTAATCGCCTTTCTTTCTCAAATCAGTTAATAACGGAATACGGTGAAACCTTTTGAAATTATCATCGGTGTTTCACGCGATGTTTATATCAATCGAGTTCGCAAGAACAATGTCGGTGCTTCTTCACTTTTTCCTTTTCACACATTTTCTCAATTTTATCTTATTATTTCGTACCTCGTCGATACACACTGATCATGAAGATTTCCACACGTGAAATGTACATACTTTAATGACTATGTTTCAAATTGACCATTTCATTTTCTCTTTCTTTTTATCTTTCATCATTATCATCATTATCATAGTCGTGGTTAACATTATCTTAATGCTGAAAATGAATCTACAAGTAAGAAAACGTCCATTTTTTTTAAAATATTTTTTAATCAATTTATATATTTATTTATGTTTTTATTTATTATTATTATTATTATTTTTTTTTATTGAAGCGACTGAACTTCTCTTATTCTTTCGTCTAACTGATTTTCTTTAAAATAGATTAGAAGATTATAAAACTACGCATTTTTTTAAGATAGTTCAAAAAGATTAAAATTTGACCTTTTTTTCATCAAATTTAATTCAATTCGGCTTATAAATGTCATGCTTCTTCATCACCTATGGTTCTTTTAACTTTTTTCTTTCATGTATAATTTTCATAATCGAATAAAATTGCACTCTACTTCGTAAGTATATGTGGTCTATTTGTATCTTGTAAGATTTTCCGATCATTCATCGTGTGTGTGTGTGTTTGTGTGTGCGCGCGCGCGCGCGCGCGTGTATATATATGACTGTGTGTTTATGCCTGCGCGCGCGTGCGTGCGCGTGCGTGCGTGCTTTTGTGTGAAGGACCGCGCCCGTGCGCGCGCGGGTGTCTGTCATCATTATACGTCAGCATTACTAATGCATTTTGTGAGAATATTTTTGAAAAAATTGCCATCTCCGTTACTATAGTATTTTTATTTATATAGAAAAGGAGAAAAGCCAACTACGAAAGTTGATAAAGAGGATGTTTTTAATAGTACCGGCAGCGTTAAAATTGTTCATGTATTTCTTATGAAATGATCTTGCACATACTTTTTTGATAATAACTATTTTTGATTAGAAAAAGAATGAAGCTAAATTATTAACATTTCTTTAATTATTCATCCTATAAATATTAATTCATCATCATTATGCTTATTTTTATTTTATTCTATTTTTATCCTTTATATGTCATACAGTATATTATTTTGTTTTCATCATTTTTTATTATTAAAGAGCCTTCTTTTTATCTGCGTTTTAATTAATCTGCATATTTTAACAAGATATATTTGACATATTAAATACACTAAATTAAAAATTGGCATATTTAATATGTACGTCACTAGTGTGTCATTATATTTTCTTTCGTTTTTTTTTTTTTATTTAATTTTATTGTGTAACTATATAATATATACATTAACGTATTGCGATGAATACGTGGTTACTTAATTTTCTGCGACTTCAAATTTACTTATACATTTTGAATATATTTTATTTTTACATACCAATTTGTCGAATTGGATTTTATATATATTCTATATTTAATCTATAATAATATCTTCTTTTTTTATTTTCGTATTTTATGTGTTTAATACATTATGTTTGCTAAGGCATTCATTATGGCAATTATATTTAATATTACTGATTTCAGGACATATAGTTGAAAATTTTATTCTTC